GAGTTTTGCTTAAAATTAGTCGAGAAAATCCATCTTTGCCTAATAAAATCACAGTATGCGCTGGCTTTAACATGGCTTTACAAAACATGTATGTTATTCCTTTAATACTATAAGTAATGCATATGTGCTCCTGCATATTTACACCTTTGTTATTTTCCTTCAGGCTTAGGAACATCTCAAATAGAGGAGAAGTGACAAAAGAAAAAATCCAAAACGCCGTATTAAGAGGAACTTATACTTTCGAAAAAGATGAGAAGAGTGATAAATTTAATGTAACACTAGTATATCAAGCTAACAGATCTGGCGAAATGAAACACAACATTTCTGATTTGCTAGATTTACGTGGACGCGCTCTACTGATTGCAAAACCTGCTAATATTAGTACAGATACTGAAGAGGAGAATTCAAGAAAAATAATGAACGAATTTGTATCGCAAGTAGATACGGCTCAAGAAATTCTTAGTGTTGGATATAAACTTATCCAGATGGGACATTTTGACTATAGACGATTTAAAAAAGAAATTAGAGGAAATGAGAAAAGGTTTGGAACTACAGAGATGAGGGAGTTGTTAACAAAGATTAAAGAAGACTTACAAAACTGGTAATGCAGTAAATCTTTTAATGTACTTTTTATTATAAGATTATTTTACAAATATTCTCTGACTTTAAATTATACAGGAAACAAGTAGTAGATGAAGCACAAAAAGAACATTATTATTTAACATTCTTTCCTGCTCGTCATATTCTTGCCTTTTATGACTACTTTACATCTGATGTGCAAGATGATGAAAACACAGAGACCTGCAGAACTCTTATAAAGTTTGTTAACAGCAAAGCAGAATTGCCCTCTCGAAAAGATCGCTCAGGGATTTCACGCAAAAACACCGATTATTCTCGTACACTTAATGTAATTGGTAAAAAATTGCAGACTATTTTTGGAAAATTATTAAAATCATCGCGTGAACTTAAAGTTAGAGGTGAACGTATTATCGCTGATGTTGTCGATAGGGGTAAATTATGTGTTGCCTCATGTAATGATCAATTACGTGTACCGAATATTATTATGAGTTTGTATGCTAACCATGGGTAAGTCTTTATATTTTTATTCATTTTAAATTTTAATAAAATCTTAATTAATTACTACTACTGTATAAACATTATAATAAATAGCACCTATCCCGAACCGTGGCAAATATTAATTTGCACAAAATCTACGACTATCGAAGAGCTTAATATTTTTATTAAGCGCTGCTTTTTTGCCGCCAAAAATGGGTATAAAGAAAAGCTATTCTGTATTGCGAATTTGGAACTACTGGAATTTGAATTGCAATATGGTCTAGTAGAAGGTATTCGGTCAATGCGTGAGAAACAAAATGATTATTATTTAGCATTGGTGTGTTGTCGTGAGGGCTCGTTCCATCATCATATATTAGATCAATTTTCCCAAGATGTTCATTCGACGAATGGTCTTAAAGCTGAAGCCATGAAAACGATTTATCGCGATCTATGCAGTAATGTTATTTGTGTTTCTTCTGATCTATCTGGACAAGGCAAAACTGAATGGATTAGACAAGCCAGTTTTGAAAAAAAGAAACTGATACGTAGTTTTTTAATTAGTGATGGTGCAGATTTTGGAAGTCTGGTTCGTCAACTTAAAGATTGCAAACTTAAACCATTGGAAAGCTTACATATAAACATTATATCGGCTGATAATTCTAATGAAATCAATATGTTCTTATTTGAATTATTGACATTAGGATTTGTTTCTAGTAATGTTGTTATAGCAAGTCTTCCACAAACAACTGTATTTATTGAGGTCGCATCAACTGTTCAGCAGAAACTTCTTAACTCACTTCCGATAACTGGTTATTTAGTAAAAGAACATTTGTCATGGGATATTCGCCGTCTTAATGTATCATCCGAGTTACGTAGCCCAATTCAAATTGTGTGTAATTACTTAGATGCATATGATAGGCGTGAAGTTGATGTGAGAGATATCGTGTTTCATGGACAAGACGGCATTAAAAAATCGTTATCAGATCAAAGGTGTCAAGATTTAATAGCAAAGTACTTTTTTGAAGGAAATGCTGATGGTGTTTCTTCATTCCGATTTGTAGAAATATTTGTTAATGTACTAGCAGATCAGCTTATTCGCCTTTCATCAAGCGCTTATTTTACCGTAGAAAATTTAAAATTGATGATGAATGATGAAACATTAATAAGAACAACATTAGTTGATACATTTATTGACGTTTCTAAGTATTTTGCAACTAGATCAGTAAAGGCTAAAGCAGCTCAATTAGAATCGACATCTGATGATAATGATACGAAATTCGAAATAGTTCAATGGGATGCATCCAATCATCTTTTGGTCTTTTTCATGTCTCAAAATCCGGATTCGATTTGTGCTTTATATCGTGATAAAAATAAAGTTCCTGAAAATGTTCAAGAATTTCTTAAAAGTCAATTTATTTCTGGCCCAAGCAAATGGGAATTAGAAGATTACAATCGGATGCAGTCTAAATTATTATTAGAGAGACTTGAGTGTTTAGCACGTCAAACGAGCCATAATATTAAGCTTCCTCTGTATGCACTATCAGCTGATAATTTAATAAAAATGGCATTAATATTGCTAAGGTCGCGTGCGAATGTTCCCGTTGTCGTTATGGGAGAAGCTGGATGTGGCAAGGTTATTAACTTTTGTCACGCCTGATGTTAAGATAGACTGATGCTGAGATTTGAGACCTCTCTTTAAATTTACCAAACCTACTGAAATCCACGTATAATCCCTCATTAATAATTCTAAACCTTAATTAGCTTTAAGAAAAAAAAATTTTAAATTTCCTATTAAAATAGGCTCAATTCACAGCATCAGCAATAATTTTTAGACGAGTAATTATTAATTTGTATAATTTTATAATATTTAGTCTAGTTTAATAGGGTTCCTGGCCAATGTAGTTGAGGTTAATTACGAACCATTCAATCTACATGCAGGAATTAAGGAGCAAGATATATTAGATTTCATGGACAAGGCCCAGAAAAGAGCTGATAATGGCGAATTGTGGTTATTCTTTGATGAAATTAATACATGCAATCACATCGGGTTGCTTGCAAATTTGATAGCGCATCGTACACTTAAGGGGAAGCCGGTGCATCCTAATATTAGACTTTTCTCGGTAATGAGAAATCAACTTTAGTAAAATTTGGTATCCATTGCGCATATTATACTAATAAATTTTTATTATTTTTTTTTAATAAGGCATGTAACCCTTATCGTAGAAGGATCAAATCTCAAAGTCAAGCCGGAATTAAACCCAAGGTTAGAAGATATGAAGAACAAAGTAACCTTGTATATCAAGTAAAACCACTTCCAGATCAAATATTAGATTATGTTTGGGATTATGGTGTTCTCCTTCCAAATGATGAAAAAAAATATATACAAATAATGGTACAAACACAATTAGGAGAAGGGCATGAATTACTTACAGAGCTCTTATTTACATCTCAGCAATTTATTCGTTCAATTGAAGAAAAATATAGTGTTAGTTTGCGTGATGTAAAAC